CCTTTTCCGTGTACGAGTAAAAATCCTCGTTAAGTATTATTTTTGGCGAATAGAATTGCGTGTTAATTTGATTTGGTGCGTATATTGTTTTTTATTAATAATGGGACCGCGTGGAGAGCAATTGTTATACCTAATCGTACCTTTTTGGTACGTGTAGGCGGCCTATCAGGCGAGTCTGGTCGATCGAGCAATGGATCGTATTCTGGGGAGACGTATTCGAGCCAAAATACCCCAGAAACGTACGATCAAGTTTTTACCGTTCCCAAATTCAGCCAAGTGACTATAATATGTATGGTAACAAATCACTGAATTAAACTGGGGAATAGAGTTGCATTTAGGCCCAAATTGCGACTGTCGTTTAAGTTATCTCTTGTCTTCAATTGGAAGGAGACAGCTGTAAATTCAAAGGTCACAAACTTCAAACGAGTCAGTGTAACTGTTTTCGGTCACTAAAACTCACAGCTTGAATTGCCTCAGTTGCTACGTCGACTTAACATGCTGCCTGACTAAAAGATGTGTAGATATACTGCACACATGATTTATAATTTTCTATGCACATCTTTTTAAGTAAGTTGAGCGTTTAATCAGCGGAATCCCAACACAATCGTGCATGTATTTTGAGCAAGAAAATTTCCTCTGCCCCTACCCTACAGGATACAAGTAAATTAATATTTACATTTCCAACATTATTTTCCTTGTAGCTGTTCCAGGTCACTCCATCGGTAGAAATATGCACTTTGTAACTGGTGGTCCGCCAAGTGCCACCCCTGTATCCCTGTGTTGCCACAGCACAAACAGTGCTCATTTCAGCTATGTCAACTTGAAGATAGTCTGCCCTATCAGACCTTGTCTTTGGATACCTTCCCTTGATTCATGGCAATCGGCCGTTGCTTAGATTACAACTGACCGAGAACATTGTAGTAGCTATAATTATGGCATCTTGTATTGCGTTCCTGTCTGATACGCCTAGAGGTGCACATACTGATTAACAAATGTAAAGGGGACAATCGTGCTCCTGTGAAACCTTGGTTCAAAGGTTTTGTGGCATTTAGAACCTTCAGTGTTGACTCTACCTAAATCTTTTCACTGTTTTGTTCAGAGCCCTGTGATCAGTTTAGCCAAGCTACAGTCAGAGCGTCCACTGAGTCCTCCACTGACCGTGGCAAGCACTGACAGCTCTTGATTTGATTACTCAAGCGTAAACGAAAACGGCCTAAAATTTTTGCCATGGAAAAAATAGATCACGTATTTTATCGCGACCACTTTCAGGTCCATGCAAATGTTGAATGAGAATAACATTCGTGCTATTTATATTATATATAACCAGTGAAAGCGAAAACTGTTTAGTTTGTTCTCACTAGAACACAGGTTTGGCAACTCTATTGCCCAATAAGAGCGCGGGTATTATCCTAGTTATTCAAGGTTTTCGTTTCTTCGTCACTTTGATACTGAAGACATTCTACTCGTGGTAGAAAACGTATGGCCCCTTAGTCGCATCAATAGTAATGTACGCTCATATGAGCAGTAACCAATCAGGAGACGAGAAAGACAATAGGCTATTGTTTGGAGAACAATGGGCTCTATTGTTGTCCAAATCCAAGATGG